TGGCAGACGCAGCGTGCTGCTTCCACATCCACAGCTCCTTTACAGCGCAGGGCGACAAGCCCCGTCTGTTTCATCTCAGGCTGTTCCACAAACTGTACAAACACAGCGACATCGTCAGCCTACCAAGCTGAGAGGTCTGTGCAAAAGTTACCAGTCAATGCCAGCAGATCTCTGTTATTAGAATCAGAATCATATTTATTACCAAGTAGGTTTGCACAAGTAATTTCCCTTTTTGTTGATGGTGCAGAAAAATTAGATATATATACAGAATACAGAATCTATGGCTATATAAAATACAAAACATACATTATATACAATGTATAGTATTTAGCCATATACTATATACACGGTAGACTGTGTGTCAATGTAATGCAGGATGTCTGGAGATGCTACGTTGGTTTTGGCTTCTAGGTCCTGAACGGGGAAGGGAGAGAGACAGTGTCAGTGTCATGGGGGTCTGTGGGCCTTGTTGATAAGGTTGGTAGCAGATAAGAAGAAACTGTTCTTGTGGCGTGAGGTTTTGGTCCTGATGAACCGCAGCCTCCTGCCAGAGGGAAGTGTCTGAAATAGTTTGTGGCTGCGGTGCGAGGGATCATCCACAGTCCTCCCTGCACACCTCAGAGTCCTGGAGGCGTACAGATCTGAAGAGATGGAAGATTGCAGCCAATCACCTTCTCTGCAGACTGGATGACACGCTGCAGTCTGCCCTTGTCCTAAAGAGTAGTAGAAGTGCACCATCATTGTCCTTGGCAGGTTGGATTTTTTCAGCTGCTGCAGGAAGTACATCCTCTGCTGGGCTTTCTTGGTGAGGGAGTTGATGTTTAGCTTCCACTTTAGGTCCTGTGAAATAATAGTTCCTCGGTAGCGTAAAGACTCCACAGTGTCAATTGTGTTAGTTTTAGGTAACAAGCTGATGCACAGCTGCTGCATAACATGACTTCAATGTTTTCTTTTTTTTCGCCACCACTGGGTGTGATTAATATTTTAGGAGAAAAGCCACAGGTTGCATGCTGGGTCACTGCAGCCGCCCACGCCTCTAGTCAATCATCTACACCAAACTGTGCTAACAGAGCTGGTAATAAATGGACCTATCCATTCCATAAAAGGAAAAAAAAATGTAATCTGATCTAATCAGTCAGATTGGAGCTTATAAATATACTAAATGTTCACCAGTGTAGAAAACAGGGCCGTTTTGAAAAGGAAAGATCTTTAAAGTCTGAGCAAACTTAAATGCATGTGTGTAAAAGAACTGCATAAATGTCCCACAGAGAGAGGAACATGATCAGAGAAGTGTAGTGTGAACTGTCACAGAAGTGAGAATTCTAAGGTAAGTGAGGCTTTGACCTTCTGATCCTGCTTTTAAACCATACTGGCTTTCATTAATGGTTCAGAATTAGGAGGCTTAAAAATTTACTTTAATTGAATCTTTGTCATGAATGCACATCTTATATTCATATCAGAAGCAGAGATATCGTCACACAACGCATGACTCACTGTTGAAAAAATAATAATATGAAAGAAGGGTTTCATTAGATCAAATCAGGCCGAACAATCAATAATACCACAGTTAACTAGGCATACTGCACACAGAGTTTACAGCTAAACCCAAAATTAGTCATTTCTAGGGCTGCAACTAATGATTATTTTGCAAATTTCTAATTCTGTTGATTACTTTTTTTGATTAACTGATTAATATTCAGATAGCAAAAGGTTCCTTAAACAAGATCTTTAACGAAATTAAACCAGGTCAATTTCCACTTGAGGAGTTCTGGATAGAGCATATTGACAGGATTTTTTTTTTAAATCTTAAATGCAAAATGTGCACATGTTTTCTTTAGCAATTTTGGTATAAGTCCTCCTCTAAGGGGGTCGCTCTGTCAGCTAAAGCGTGTTTTAGTCTCTATACCACAGTTAACGATTATTAGATTACTAAATTAGTTGACGATCATTTCAATAATCGATTAATCACGACTAATCCGATTAATTGTTTCACCCCTACAGATTTCACTTGGCAGATTTAGATTCACAAACCTTGAAAAAAATAAGTTTATTCTTCCTAAATAAACTTATTTTTTCAAGGATTGAGAACTTCAATTTGGAGAGGTAGGAGGACTTCCAATAATAAAAAGGTTTGATTGTTGTGGTGTCAATTAAGATTTTACTGTTTTCATATTGATTAAAAGTGGTGGTATAAGGGGATTATTGGAATCTTGGCTGCATCTGTAGAATAATTAGATCAGAGCTCAAGAGGGTAATAATTTAGGTCAACTTTTCTTTTTAAAAAGGCTGATGACAGGCTTTGGGTGTGCCTGTGACCTCAGGTTGTTTTTTTTCTGTTCCATGGCTCTATAAAAGGCAGCACTAATCCAGCAAAACAAAAGGGTTTATGGTACTCCACACAACTCCATGCAAAATTATTTTCAGATTGAAAAAAAAAAACAAAAAAAACAGAAGAGAGAACAACAAGCCTTCAGAGTGACAATAAATCAAAATTTCAAAATCACAATTTCACAATGTAGGAGTACAAGAAGAATCTTTTGAGGAAATGAGAACAATCACAAATGTGTGTGTATCCACAGCAGCAAGAGAAACAAAAAGAAATGAGGTCACGGATGACTACAAACAGGCCTGGATGCGAGGAATGCCAGAGATAAAGGGGCCACAAGAAGAGCCGTAAAGATAGAGTCACTTTAGGGGCAGCTGGGAATCAGCACAACCACAGTTGGGTTCAGCGCTCTTTAAAGAAAAACTGCTAGAGTAGAAAATATCTTTTAAAAGTTCAGTTCAAACCATGATAATGTATAACCAGGATTCACTTCCGGTTCCTAAGAACCATCTCTCTTCAAAAATCTAAGGTAATCCCTACACATGTTGGGAAGGGAGCCGACCAGAAAATGGACTTCCTGTAGCAACAGAGGAAGTACAGCTTCCTTAGCCAGGGTAATCGGCCAATGCTGGAACAGATATGGCCTTCTATTTGTTTTTATTTGTTATTATTCACACAACTAACCTGTTTAAATCTTGCCCTTATAAACGCTCCCTACACATAGCGTGGTTTCTCTCTGCACTGATGAATATAATGTTGGTGCCCAAAAAGTTGGAAATTAAATTTTTTTTTTTAAAGATGTGAGGGTTTAAAAGACACATTTTAGTTTAGTTGGAATTATTAATGGATTTAAGTAAAGGTGGCCATTGATCATATCGTTTAAGGTTAGCATGATCAGTTTATGGTTATGGGAAAAAAAATGTAATTGATCGTCTTTAAATTTGAATCAATGATAATTAAAATCACTAGAAACAAGGTAAATTGTCAGAATTTTTATTTTTATGTTTTCTTTTTTTTCTCCATTGGGGAATTTACCAGTTTAAAGAATATGATTGAATGTGGTTAACTATAAGATGTTCAGGGATATAAATTATACTTCTTTATGTACCTGGTGTCCTCGAGACACAGAATTTAAGTGCATCTATAAGGTTGGGCGATATGTAAACACTTTTGGACCGATATTTGTGAGTCCAACAAATGGCGATAATAGATATATTCATGTAGGTGACTTTGTGGGCAAACATTGCTCAGAATGCGTCTTCTCAACCACTGGTACTATTGTTAACCACCTGCACACAATGCTAAAACCCAGTAAGGTAAACATGCTTGTTTTCCTGTCAAAAATGTAAAAGTTTGGTCCAGTGGGAAAAGTTTCCTCTTTTTCATTTGTTCTGACTGTTATGAGTTATTATAGTTATTCGATTGTTATTCATTTGTTTATCCGAATGTGCAAAATCAAACAGACTGAAAACTGGGGTGAAGATTTTTTATTTATTTATTTATTTTATTTTTTATGGAAAGCGCACAGCTTTGCTGAGGGACAGAATTTTCCTTTTTATTTTTTGTTGTTAAATTTTGCATTTGTTATTAAAATCAAATCCATAACAGACGGAGCGGCCTGTAAACAAACACTAACAAAAAATAAATAAATAAATAAATAAGCCTTTCACTGGTTTGGATCAGTTCTTTCTTTCTGCTTCATGTTTAAGTGGATAAATCGCTGCTGCGTGGTGGCACTGGGGAAAAAACTGTAGCTGGAAGGAGTTTGTATGCAGTATTAAAAACGAGCATTGAAGGGCTGAGTCTATGTCGATGATCGATAGATCCGTCCCAGAATATAATCCCTGATTGTTGGGCTTATTATAGCTGTACTGAGCAGCCACACATATACAGTTACCTAAGAAACATTGTGAAGAAGTGCTGCTTTTTATTTTTTTTTTAATCATCAGTTTTATTTTTATCACGATAATTAAACCTAATATTGTGATAAAACTGTAAGTGCATATTAGATTAGATTAAAGCACAATTCTAATTACAATCAAAACAACAGGGTTACTGATTTAAGCTAAACTTTTTTTAGTTTCTTTCAAAGATTTGGACTTAAAGTCAGATATGGGTACAGCTAAATGCAAGCTACTGTAAAATAAAGAACATATTTTTACTGTTACAGACAGAGCAAACTTTATCCTGTCTGCAAAGTGTGATTATAATCCCATAGGTATATAATAAAGTTTTATAATAGAAGCAGCATTTATCACATTTAATTCTGAATATAGTTTTTTCTTAATAATTAACTAAATTTGTGATTTGGCAGGCGAATAAAACATCTTAGAACAGGACTGTGAAGTTAGTGCTGTTGATGTAGGACCAGGTAACTCCAGCTAGCTGCTTTTAAATCTGTCAGGTGAGTCAGAAACCGCCTGGAGTCAAAGGTGAAGCGATGAGAAATTGTTGTAATTAATAGGAAAAAAGGCGCAAAAACAAATCCCACATCGAGTTAACCCACTCTTCCATGCTTCCTGTCCCACTGTCGTCTCTTTTCTGAAGCGTTTTAAGCTCCAGGTCCCGTTTCTACAACAAGCTCTTCACATTTCCCCCAGTTAGCTCCTTTTAGCTCAGCCAGGCTAACAGGCTAAAAACAAGCAGCTCCGCGGCCCGCGCGCTGCTCTCTTACCGAACTCTGACGGCTCCAAACCAGACTCCATCCAAGCTGTTGATCAGGGGATATCCATCAACGGACTGAACACTGGGTTTTTTTCCTTCCGTCTGGCTGCGAGGCTGAAGTTTATTTTGCGGAGTAAAATGGCTGCGCCTCGTCTGGCTCCGGGATGCAGAGTGACGTGAAGACGTTGGAGGGAGGAGGGTCACGGTGAGCATCTGCCTCCAACCGGCGGCTCATCGCCCCACTGGAGAGAGAGAGAAACCATTAGGACAGAAAGTTTCACCCCGACTGGCTCTGCAGCAAGTGGTTCTCCACACTGATTTATGAAAGCATCCTGCTGACGAGGATTAGGGCCACTGAAACATGTAAAATATTATTTCAGTTTAATATGGGAAAAAGTCAGAATTCTGACTTTAATCTCAGAATTCAGATTTTTTTCTCAGAATTCTAACTTTGATCTCAGAATTATGAAATTTTTTTTCTCATAAATCTGACTTTGATCTCATAATTCAGACTTTAATCTCAGAATTTAGACTTTAATCTCAGAATTCAGACTTTAATCTCAAAATTCAGATTTTTTTCTCAGAATTCTAACTTTGATCTCAGAATTATGAATTTTTTTTCTCATAAGTCTGACTTTGATCTCATAATTCAGACTTTAATCTCAGAATTTAGACTTTAATCTCAGATTTCTGACTTTTTCTCAGAATTCTGACTTTAATCTAGGAATTCTGACTTTAATCTCAGAATTCACATTTTTTTTTCCTCATGATTCTGACTTTTTTTTCAGAATTTTGACTTTAATCTCAGAATTCTACATTTTTTATATCAGAATTCTGACTTTAATCTCAGAATTTTGACTTTTTTCCTCAGAATTTTGACTTTAATCTCAGAATTCTGACTGAACAAACATTTAGCATCAAGCTGAAGCCATGTCTTTTTTACAGACTAGCTCTCTTGTATTAATCACCTTCTGCTCTTCCATTAATGAAATAGCATCACCAGGGACCCCTCGGGCATGTAAAAAGTTGCCTAATTTCATCATTTTTCAGCAATGTGTTACTGTCCCTCTCAAACAACTCACATCTATGTCAGTGAAGCTGAGTGCTCCCACATCTCTTCCTTCATGATGCCCATCTACCTTAAGATCCACAATTCTGAGATTATAGTCAGAATTCTGAGAAAAAAAGTCAAAATTCTGAGATTAAAGTCAGAATTCTGACTTTTTTCTCATATACTGAAATAAAATAAAAAAAATCAGTTAACTTTTTTGTTTTTTTTTCAGGGGCCCTAACCCTCTTCCGTAGGATCCTGATACACTCCCGTTGTACTCGGAAGTTAGAATTTCCATAGCAGACTGTGGAAACATACTGCTATTGACTGGATAAATATTATTAACAGTTTTATATGGAAAAAAGTGAAAGAAAACAGGAAGAGAGCAAATACATTCAGAAGGAAGTTAGACAAACACTCTAAACAAAACTTTATTTGAAAAGAGGGAAAAGGAATACTAACAAATGTCATAACTGTACAAGCATACAAAAAATATACCTCATTTGTTATAAAAAAAACTGTAATTATTAAAGCAATTAGTAATTTTTGTGTTTTATGTGAATGAAACAAACAGAAGAGGATTAAAAAAAATGTCTAAAAGCTGATTTTGGCAGAAAAATTTGATATCTATTAAGATGTTATATTTAGATTTAGTGCAAACACCTTTGCATCTATAGTTGTACAAGACACAAGAAAGTGAATTTAAAAAGGGGTTTAATATTTTTTGTACCCAGAATTGTATTAGTCTGCACTAACATTCTTGGAGGGAGCAGGCAGCGCCCTCTGCTGTACGGCCTTACGAATTACCATTAAGTCACAAGGCTTCACTAGATGCATAAAAAAAGAGATGAAACAGTTATGAAAAGAACAATTTGCAGAATATCAAACATTTAAACAGCCTGGGGTTATCTACATCAAAAAGCTAAATTGTATTATGAGTACAAATCATGTGTTTTGATTGTGTTATGGTTTTCTTATGTTTTTTTTAAAAAAAGACAATTTTAAAACCATAAAACAACAGCTTTCTCATTGAGTTTAAACTATTTAATAAATTATCTTGTTAAGAATAAAATTACATCAACTCAAAAGGGAGTAAAAACTAAATTGTTATCCATATAAGTCCCGCCCTGAAGCTGTTTTCAGATCTCTTTTGAGATTGTAACCATTCTAAAAAGTTTTGATTTTAGGCCTTTTGGTCCAGCGGAAACAGTTTGTTCCCGCATTCTTTGTCCATTTTCCAGCAAACTGCAAACAATTTACTTGTAGAGCATTAGACAACTTGCCATATTTTCCATAGAGCACCTCTGCATTTAATGATACAGGACAGAGGACCCAGTATTCAGGCAGAACAGTGGGTAACTTCAAATAGCGTTTATTGAATCCAGGCGGATCTGCAGTGGCTGTGGCCAGGGCGTCTATAACTGGAAACTCTGAAAAAGGAAACCCAGGCTAGTGACCACATAAATCCAATGGAGGAAGATTATGATGGTGAGTCACTAACCTGGTTTAGAAGTTCATTCCATCGACACAGACCCAGGTAGAATCCAGCCGGTGAGCTGCCAACAGGATGCCGTCCAGAGTGTTTCAGATGCTGCAGCCCTGGAGAACATGCAGGAATCAGGAGCCATGTCAGAACAGGAACAGGCTGGTTCAGAGGTCCAGGAGTCCAAAGACAGTTCAGGCAACCTGTCCAGATGGGAACACACAGGCTCAGTAGTTAAGAGGCAGAACGGGTCAGGATCAAGAAATCAGAAACACTATGGAACGTACTGATTTTATGAGCCGAGGCTTCGAGGCGTGTGTCGAGTAGTCGAGGGGGCGTTTCTACAAGGCACGTTTCGAGGCGTGCTTCATTTGGGGGGAGGAGCCACAATAGATGACGTCTGAAGCCTTGCTACCCCGTCACACCATAAGATCACTTTGGAAAGTGGTTCAGCTCGCCCGGAACTTTGGCAGGCATTTAAACAGGCTCAGTATTCAGTCAAGATGTGGGAATTTGTAGTAGAGAGGAGATAATAGCATATAATGCATGTATGAAATCCATTTACACATTTCCATTTACAATTACTTTATGTACAGCCACTCCGTATTGTTCAGTATAGTTGGTGTATGTTTTTATGATATTTTATTTAGCTAATTACTTTTTCGTAGTGTTTTTAATTATCTGAGACAGTGACCTTCAGGTTCTCATAATCCATAATCATCAAAATTACTGAAACAAAGACTTGGCATA